GGTGTGAATAGTCTAATCTGTCTGCTCAGACTGTGCTCTGCTGGTGTTATTGGCTTAATCGCCCACATTTATCTGATTGCACACTGGACTTTGCTTTCAATTATTACAGACTCCATTTTTGCCCAAATATTTATCAAAAATCAAAACTTGAAAAAACAATTCAGTTTTACAACCCATTGATTTGTCATTGACTTTCTTACCCGTTGTTCATACTGCACACAAATCTGCTTTGGTTTTCAAATCCGATCTTTAGGTCTGAGTGTGCACAGTGTCATTTTGCAGTTTGATTAAATATGATCCGCTTCAGGAATTGTCACCAATATCTGGTGTATCTACATCACAAAAGACATCCTGAATTTCGAAAAGCAGCTATCTGAAATCTGATCTGACTAGACTGGAAAATCAGATGTAATCTGATTTGAAACCACATATGAATGTGGTTTGGATCAGGTTTGTTAACACTGGATTTCATGTGGTTTGTTGCTGTTCAGACTACAAAAAAATAAACCGATATGAGTCAGCTATGCCAAAAAATCTGTCTGAACAAAGCATTAAACTCCCTGTGCTGTCAAGGCTTAGCATGCTGCTTAACAACAACAATACTGTAAGCTAGTAAAGCTGACCATTAACTCATCTATCCACTTTTCCTCTCTCCTTTAGATGGACAAAGAGCAAGGCTCGTCCCCCAGGTCTAAGTCCAGATACACAGGCAAAGTGCGATTGTGTGTTGCCCGCTACAAGTGAGTGGATCCACTACAGCTGTTGTAACATGTTACAGTACGTTACAATAGGACTTTGCTGTAATAATAGGTTATAGCATGTCCTTAGCTATAATGATTTGTTATATCATGCCATTAGCTGTAATGATTAGGTGTAGAATAGCATTAGTCACTGTATTAGGTCTGCCTTTAAGAAATACTCTGAGTTAAGTACAAGTTAAGTGTATCAACAACATCTGTGCACACTGTCAATTACCACAGACAAGCATTTCGCCTCATCTACCAAGCACAGCAGATAAACTTTTAAAATATACTTTCACACTCTTTTGATAGTATAATCATAGCACTTATGATAACACTTACGAGACTGGTTTGGTGCCATCAGAAAATATCTATTCAATTTATGTTAAAATCATGTGAACTTGGTAAACCAGGTAACTTTGGGTTAGAGCTCCTGTCTGTCAAACCCACCTTCCTGTCACGCAGCACAACCTCCAGCCCACGGCGAACCTTCCTCTCAGAGGTGCGGCCCGTCATCTCCACTGCTGTGAGTATCACAAACTAATCAGTGAGTGTTAGTTCATTTTACCTTTAATGTTAACCATTTACAGTTTGATTTTAGTCTTGAGGTTAAATCTTTTAAAATAGATTACATTGCATTTTCTGAAGGAAATGGCAGAGTTTGCAAGCCAGCACAAGAATGTTAATGTGTTAATGGGCTTTAGATTTTGGTTCTGTATGTAAATGAAATGCAAGAATCAACCAATAAAGCGACACAAGTACAGGCAGCTATAGATGGCTAAATAGATGCCAAAAAAGAAAATACCAATCATAATCCAGTTTCCAAATAAACACAAGAAAGAAAACTAATTTTCACATTTCCAGGGCTCTCAGAAACATAGTTGAGTAAACTTCTGGATGAATGGAAACTACAACAAAAATATTTTTGAGTTCCCATTTGCTCCAAAAGCAAAAGGAAAAAATCAATGATAGTGTTTCTGTGACTTTTCAAAAGGGGAAAAAAAACATTGTTAGATTGATTACAGTGGTCAGATACGAGAAAGATGTCAAATTTGCCATCACTTCCTCACCTGTTGTGTTAAAAACATCCACACAGCAGTGTTCTAAAATATAATGCAAAGGTAAAATAATACAAGGTTTAGTGTTATAAATGTACATTAAATTTTAAAAAATGTTAAATGAAAATATTAAAAAACTGTACTAGATTTATGATGTTAAAGGGGTCATATGATGCGATTTCAAGTTTTCCTTTCTCTTTGGAGTGTTACAAGCTCTTGGTGCATAAAAGAAATTAGGGGAATTTTGATTTCTCAGTTCATGACCCCTTTAATGTTAACCATTTACAGTTTGATTTTAGTCTTGAGGTTTAATCTTTTGAACCAAAAATTAAATATATAAAAAGAACTGAGGTTCTACAGAATAAAATCGATTATATTTGCATTATCTGAAGGAAATGCCAGGGCTTGCAAGCCAGCACAAGAATGTTAATGTGTTGGACTTTGGTTTTGGTTCTATGTGCATTTAACAAACTTTAATGAATCAATACATACATTTTTGGTTTTAATATTTTTCTTGTGTGGAAACCATTTCACAGACTGTGATACATTTCCAGAGTTATTAACAACAGTTTTTAATTAATTAATTAATTATTTTTTTTTAAATCTAAAGGTAATGTATGTAAGAAAAAAGGTACTCAAGGTGTGCTGTATTGTGAATAAGTCACAGCTGAAGGGATTGCAGGCACTCCGATTTGTGTCATGCCTAACAACGCCCTTCAGACATGACTTAAGAAAAAATGAAAATATTAAAAACTGTACTAGATCTACAATGTTAATAACTCTGGAAATGTATCATCGCAGTCTGTGAAAAGAGTCCATTGAAAAATGTTCACTTAAATTTATTTTTTAATATTTGTTAATTAATTTTTTAACTTAAATGTATTATAAAGTTTAAAGATTATTTAAAAAATAAAAACAGGATGAGACTAAACTATTAAACTGAAAGGTTTGTAAATAGTCGAATAGAATAGATTCTTTTTCTAACCAATATATTCTAGATTCTAAGAGAGCAAAGTAGATTCTAATAGTGTGTCATGTACCACAGTGATTTGGCCATTATGAGAATAATTACAGTATGCATTGACAGGCTGTGTGTGTGAGAGAGTGTGTGGGTGTGAATAGTCCAATCTGTCTGCTCAGACTGTGCTCTGCTGGTGTTATTGGCTTAATCGCCCACATTATCAGATTGCACACTAGACTTTGCTTTCAGTTATTTCAGACTTCATTTTTGCCCAAACATTTATCAAAAATCAAAACTCGAAAAACATTCATTCTTATGTTTTATAACCCACTGATTTTTCATTGACTCTCTTAGGCGTTGTTCATACTACACATAAATCCGATTTGGTTTTCAAATCTGATCTTTAGGTCTGAGTGTGCACAGTGTCATTTTGCAGTTTGATTAAATATGATCCGCTTCAGGAATTGTCACCAATATCTGGTGTATCTACATCACAAAAGACATCCTGAATTTCGAAAAGCAGCTATCTGAAATCTGATCTGACTAGACTGGAAAATCAGATGTAATCTGATTTGAAACCACATATGAATGTGGTTTGGATCAGGTTTGTTAACACTGGATTTCATGTGGTTTGTTGCTGTTCAGACTACAAAAAAATAAACAGATATGAGTCAGCTATGCCAAAAAATCTGTCTGAACAAAGCATTAAACTCCCTGTGCTGTCAAGGCTTAGCATGCTGCTTAACAACAACAATACTGTAAGCTAGTAAAGCTGACCATTAACTCATCTATCCACTTTTCCTCTCTCCTTTAGATGGACAAAGAGCAAGGCTCGTCCCCCAGGTCTAAGTCCAGATACACAGGCAAAGTGCGATTGTGTGTTGCCCGCTACAAGTGAGTGGATCCACTACAGCTGTTGTAACATGTTACAGTACGTTACAATAGGACTTTGCTGTAATAATAGGTTATAGCATGTCCTTAGCTATAATGATTTGTTATATCATGCCATTAGCTGTAATGATTAGGTGTAGAATAGCATTAGTCACTGTATTAGGTCTGCCTTTAAGAAATACTCTGAGTTAAGTACAAGTTAAGTGTATCAACAACATCTGTGCACACTGTCAATTACCACAGACAAGCATTTCGCCTCATCTACCAAGCACAGCAGATAAACTTTTAAAATATACTTTCACACTCTTTTGATAGTATAATCATAGCACTTATGATAACACTTACGAGACTGGTTTGGTGCCATCAGAAAATATCTATTCAATTTATGTTAAAATCATGTGAACTTGGTAAACCAGGTAACTTTGGGTGATATCCATTTAAAGATACTAGGAAAGGTTGTAATGTAAGCATCTGCTTTTAATTCCTCTGGTCATCTTGCCCCATAGGCTTCCATTGCTCCACTAGCATGGCCAGGTTGTATCATAAAAATTATGAAAAATAATGTTTCAAATGGGTTTCACCCCACTATATCAGGCTGGCTAGGATGCTTGAACAAACTGAGCAATGATTTTTAACCGCCACAGAGCTACAGTGTTTAAGTTTTCAGGAAAAAAAAAATCAACCCACAAATGGCTTAGTAATATCACCATTTTGTTCTAATACTATTTTGAAATTTAAAAAATGTATAGACTTCTCCTTTAGGTTTTTGATTTAATAATAATAATAATAATAATGAAGTTCATGAATTGAATTCAGCATGTACTCCCTGCAGTTATAACCCTTATGATGGCCCCAATGAGCATCCTGAAGCAGAGCTCCCCCTGGTGGCTGGGAAGTACCTGTATGTTTATGGGACCATGGATGAGGACGGCTTCTATGAGGGTATGTCACATTACAGTACAACTTCAGAGCAGTTATACACTACCATTCAAAAGTTTGGTTGTCAGTCAAGGACATTTTTTAAAGTAGTCTCTTATGCTCAACAAGGCTGCATTTATTTGATTAAAGTAAAAACACAGTCAAAACTGTAATATTGTGAAATATTATTACAATTTAAAATAAGAGTTTTCTATTTGAATATATTTTAAAATGTAATTTTAAAATATCCTATTTATAATAATCATTTGATGGCAAAGCAGAATTTTCAGCAGCCATTATTCATCACTCGGTACCCTTTTCTGTTCTCCAGGTGAGTTGTTGGACGGACAGCAGGGTCTGGTTCCCTCCAACTTTGTGGACTTTGTCCAGGATGAGGAGCTCCCGTCAGTTCCTCTTTTGGACTGCATCAAGGAACCGTCCTACCTCAACCACAGCCCCGCCTCCATGCCCAGCAGTGCCGTCAGTACACTCAGCACGCTGCTCTCAGAGAAGCTGGATGCCCTGGGCTCGGGTACCGGGACGGGCACCAGCAGCAGCAGTGGGGTGAGCAGCTTGGGCATGAGCATGGGTCTGGGCATGGACTTTCTGGGACCCTGCAGCAATGGCACAGGCACGCTGGACGTGAACATTGACGAGATCGGAGAAGACATCGTGCCTTACCCCCGCCGCATTACCTTGATCAAGCAGCTGGCCAAGAGCGTTATCATAAGCTGGGACCCTCCGGTGGTGCTGCCCGGGTGGTCGTCCATCAGCGGCTACAATGTACTGGTGGATCAGGAGGTATGCATGAGCGTGCCCTTCGGCGGCCGCACCAAGTCTTTGATCGAGAAGCTGAACCTGGCCTCCTGTACGCACCGCATCTCCATCCAGAGCATGACGGAGCGGGGGCTCTCCGATCCGCTGCGCTGCACACTGCTGATGGGGAAAGATGTGGTTGTGGCACCCTATTACCTTCGTGTGGAGAACATCACACAAGTATCGGCTGAGCTCACCTGGATGCCAAGCAACAGCAACTACAGCCACATGATCTTCCTGAACGACGTGGAGTATGATGTTGTGAAGCCTGGAGGGTACAAATACCACTTCTACAACCTCAAGCCCATGACAGTGTATAAGATACGGGTGGTGGCCCGGCCCCATCAGATTCCCTGGCAG